AGCAGTAACGTGTTCACACTAGTAAGGTTTCTTTTTTGGGCTCATGTACATTGCAGCTGATAAACTCACATTTAGGAGCTGTTCAGCGTTTTTTTCAGCAGCCCCTGAACTCTCCCTAATGGTGTCTTATGTGTCCATATACACATACATATACACGTTTACAATCATTTAAAGTTGTTTTTTTTTGAACGCAGAAAACTTGCGTTCAGCAGCCGATTTTCAGTGTTTCAAACACAAAACGCTTGTAAACGTGGCTAATTGCGTTTTTAAGCGTTTGCGTTTGAAATTGTTTTTTAACTCTTTCAGTTCCCGATGCTGTCCAGAGCCTTTTTTCATCATGAAAAATGCATGCCAAAGCATTTTCAAGGTACTCAGATGGACAAAACACTGAACACAGGATGTTCCTTGTCAGACCTCTCCCACCATTGGAAACAAAAGATACCTTAATGACCATCCTCACAAAGACCCCCTTCCAGGTGACCTTAATGACTCACTCCACCAGACACCTTTCCCACCCTTGGAAACAAAAGATATGTTAATGACCATTCACACCACAAATTCCTCATGAAGACCACCTGCCAGGTGGTCTTAGTGACTCACTCCACCAGACACCTTTCCCACCTTTGGAAACAAAAGAAATGTTAATGAGCAACTCACACCTAAGCCAATTTCAACACATACTACTGTCTCTGCTACTACTCTCTGTATTTCTCTGAAACAGTTTGAAAAAGTTAATAATTTACCACTTTTCACTGCATTCTGGGCATTTGGGAGATTCTCCTGTGCTTATCTTTAAACAATGCTTCTAAACGCAAACACACATAAACGCGACTGAACAGAGGTTTTTTAACCTACTTTTTCCAGCAGTCCGTTTCCATCGTTCAGAAGTGTCCCGTGTACATGGGGCCTTAATCTTGCTAAAATGTAGCAAGTGTCATAATTTTCCTGACAGCTCTGCAACCTGCTCCTGGCTTCCAGCTGGGATCCCTGGGCAGACATGCTCTTTTATTTGTACAGTATATGTCACGTGAAGACAGATTGCATATTGTAGAGCAGTATAGAATCTGTTATGATTTCTTGTTGCCACTGCTGAGTAATCATAAGCAGGAAATCCACAGTTTTAGTGTTTATTAACCACTTCAGGTCCAGACACTTTCACCCCCTTCCTGTCCAGGCTAATTTTCAGCTTTCTGTGCCATCACACTTTGAATGACAATTGTGTGGTCATGCAACACTGTACCTATATAAATTTTTTAGAGACCGATAAAACTTTATTTTAGTGGTATTTATTCACCACTTGGACTTTTATTTTTTTGCTATATAAATGAAAAAGTCTGAACATTTAAAAAAAAGCATTTTTCTTATAAAATTTTGCAAATAAATAATCTTTCTTCATAAATCTTGGCCAAAATGTATTCAGCTATCTTTTTAGTAAAAAAACAAAAAAAACAAATTAGTTTATAACCAAAAATGATATACTGTCACCCTAGCAGTAGTATCACCATAGTGACACTGTGCTACTTGTGGGGGGTGATGAAGATTTTTTTTTTACACTGATTGCTTTTACACCCATAAAGGCTGTAAAAGCAATAATTTCTCCTTCTCTCTGGCTGCATTCTTGCAGCCATTGAGAAATACTGTGAGAGCTGTGATTGGTCACAGCTTGTCACATGATACAAGGCCATTGTGAATAGCCTTGTACCATGTGACCTCTGTGATCATTCACAGATTTCACTAGTAGTAAGCATTATGTCAGGAAGTGACATCTTGTTTACTACTATTCATGTGATCTCTGATTGGCCAATCAGTGATTACATGATCGGGGACCTCACACAGAGGGCCCCTACAGCGATCAGTGTTTTCCGCTGTTCCACAGCAGGCACCAGATCGCGGTGCCGGGCACTCCCAGGGAGCATGCGCAGACAGTGAATGCGGGGGCCGTTTATAAACGGCAACCCTCTCCTGCACTGCTCCTGTCTGGCCATTTATGTACATGGGCCGGACGGGAAGTGGTTAACACCCCAGTTGCACTGGTCGTATGCCAAGTCGCACCCTATTGTCCGCAATTACAGATGTCTAAAGTAGTACATGCACTACTTTTTCTGTGAATTGCATAGACAACTATGTCAGATGTCTTGCAAATCGCACCTGAAATCGGCAGCCCCCCAACTTTGAAATCATGTGACTTCGCTGCAAGTCGCACGATTTTAAAGTTGGGCTTGATGTGACCGTAACTTAGACCCTGGTCGCACTGGGTGCAACTTGGCATGTGATTTGCATGCCATACGACTTGCAAATCGCATGCCAAGTCACACCCTATTGTCTGCAATTAGAGCGGTCATAGTGCGGTTCTGACTTGGTTGGAGCCGAACCGATTTCTAAAGTTGTACATGCATTACTTTTGGTGCAATTTGCATAGACATCTGTGTCAGATGTCTTGCAAATCGCACCTTAAATCGGCATATCTTCCGACTTTGAAATCCTGCGACTTCACTTCGCACGGTTTCAAAGTTGGGCTTTATGTGACCGGGGGTGTAAAAGCAGAACCTGCATGAACAAATAATGCCCTAAATATAAAATGTACATGGCTTCCTTAGCTGTGTACTGTAAATGAAATTTGGAGCTCCATTACCTGTATTATTATTATTATCTAGAGCATTGGTCTCTAAACTTTTCAGTATGAGGGCCACAGTATATATTTTACCAATATTTGCTGAACGTAAAATAATCGGATTCAGTGGCTAAGTGGTTAGCACTTCTGCCTAGCAGTTCTAGGATCGTTGGTTTGAATCCCAACAATGGCACTACCTGCCTATAGTTTGCATCTTCTCCCTGTGCCTGCGTGGGTTTCCTCTGGGTACTCCGATTCCCTCCTGCACTCCAAAGACATGCTGGTAGGTTTAATTGGATCCTTTCTAAATGGGCCCTAATATGTGTATTTATGTGAGATAGGGACCTAAACTGGTGTAAATGTACACTATATATATGTAAAGCGTTGTGTAAATTGACAGCACTATAGAAGCAACTGTAATGAAAATAATAAATGAATGAACACACTCCAAGGAATAACTTTATACCAAGCCTCCATCGCATCAGAAGTCCTCTCATTACATCAGAAGCACCCCCATCGCTTCAGCGTCCACTTACATATCAGCATCCCCTCTTACATTGGGGTTCCCATCAAAGTCCCCGCCCTCCCCCCTTCTTAAATGTAGGGTGCCTGTCAGAAGAAGAGACTACCTGATCTGAATCCTTCTGCAGTCTAAAGGGCTCGTTCACACTTGGCTGTTTTACCAACGCTTGCCAAACGCCCCTATAGCGTTTGGCAAGCAAGCGTTGGTCCGGCGTTTGCGGGGCAGCACCATAGACTAGAATACGAGGCTTCAACACCTCCTGACTCGACCAGAGGCTCCGTTTTGCCGCGACGCAACGCAAACGCTTCCGTTAGAACAGCACCATGTGCTGTAATGCAGAATTGGCAGAGGCGTTTGTGAAGCGGTAAAAAAAAACTCTTCCCAAATGCCTCTCTGCCGCCTGCACACAACGCTAGTGTGAACGTAGCCTAAAGTCGGTCATACACGAGTCGAATTCCGAAACAATTTTCTTTCAAAAATCTTTTCTAAGAATTTTTGTTCACATTTTGCACCATTAATGGGCCACAGCATCAGCTGATTTTCGAGCGACCATTAAATTTGAGTGATCGGGCATGTTGGAAATTTTTTGAAAAATAAACTAATTTCTAATCAATGATGGGAGAAATGTCATCGAAAAAGAAATGAGCATGAGCTGTGACCTGGAAAGAAAAGAAAATTCTTGTCTAGGAAAATTATTTTTTTGTAGCAACATGGTGAAATTAAAGGCTTGGTTGCTCCAATTTTGAAATCAATGGTGGCACCATCAAATTACAAAACCCACAAAATTTCCGATTTTCTAAAGAAAATCCGGCTTCCCATTGCCCTACAGATAAAATTCAAAACATTAACAATAACATATAAAGCCATTTATAACTCTCCACAAATTACATCATCAATCTTGTCTCCAAATATCACCCAAACCATACTCTCCGCTCATCGTATACCCTTCTGCTCTCTAGCTCCCTTGTCTCCTCCTCACATGCTCGTCTCCAGGACTTCTCCAGAGCTTCCCCCATCCTCTGGAACTCTCTACCCCAATTTTTCAGACTATCGCCAACTCTGCTCACTTTTAGGCGACCTCTGTAAACCTATCTCTTCAGGGAAGCCTATCCTGCCCTCAGCTAATAATGGGATCTTCTATTCCTCCTACCAATCCATCCCCCACAGTTATTACCTTTTGTACCACTAGCCCCTCCCTCTTTGATTGTAAGCTCCAAGGAGCAGGGCCCTCCTAACCCTCTTGTATCGAACTGTATTGTCTCCCTTTTATATTGTAAAGTGCTGAGCAAACTGTTGGCGCTATATAAATCCTGTATAATAATAATAAAGAAAATGCGTTCGGAATGTGACCCATGTATGGCCTGCATAGGAATACACTACTGACTTTGCGCCAGATAAAATCTTTTAGCGGGTTGGCTGAGGCCCCACGGACTGTAGTTTGGAGACCCTGTCATTCTTCACAAGGACCGAGAACAGCAAAATCTGCTCTTTATTACAGGAAGTCCCTTTACAGAAGTTTCACACTGAATTACTGCTACTTGTGTATACAATATCCTGGAGGTCAGCATTCAATTCTCTGACCTTGGCCAATGGGGACTATGGCTTCTTATTTTATCTTTAAACCCTATACATGCTCATATAATAAAGAAATGCAGTCCTGTTATCTTGGTAGGAAAATTTAAAGTGTGACTAAACCCACAACAGTAGAATCAGTCTGTATATGTAGTAAAGCATGCTTGTTATACTCACTGTGGAACTGCGGAACCTAAGGGTTAATCCTCTGCATTGTGTAAAAAGGATGTTTGCCCTGGGCCCTGTCTTCTCTGATCCTTCCCTTCTGTTGTCCCCAATCCATCTGCTGACAGAACAGAGATTTGGGTTGTATTGCTAGAGAGGTTTTTTTCTTGGGAGAGTGCGATCAGAACTGGCCAGGGGGTCAGGGGTCATGCAGCCCCAAGGGACAATCAGGGAAGAATGAAAACTCTTTCTACAAGCTTTAACCAGTGCTCTGCTGGACACTGATAGAAGTCACAAGACTGCTCTAACTGCTGATGAAAAAAGTATATAGAAATATATATTTACTAAAATAATTGCATTTCCATGTTCTGTGTACTGTGGCTGACCAGATATAGTGAATACAGGGTCATAGATTTAGTATCACTTTAATAAATGGCTGGGATCAAAAGCAACAAACACATTCATCAATCATCATTTCTTATGAAAGCCGGTATCAGGGATGCTCAAAGACATGATCATGGCCGAATTGACTAGAATGGGTCAGGATCATCTCATGAGTGGCTACTTAAAATAATCAGGGTAACATATACTGACCTTATGGTTTGCGATCTCACTACATTGCCGACAACAAATGCTTTTAAAGGGAATTATTTATAAATCAAAGCATGTGTGTGAGAAGACCTGTGGAATCAACCGGTCCCGGACTTACATGCCACGTGCCAGTTCTTGGACAGTAAAGCTAAACTATATATAAAATTGCTTTAATGAAGTTTGTATGGACTCTTATCAGTTGTGGAAAGGAAGATTCCATTGGAACCTGTCACAGGTGTTTTACATTGTGACTGTCTATTTAGGGGATGTATTTGTAAAAAATGATTCACAAAGCTATTTAGCCTGCAAAACTGCATGTACATGCGTTCTGTGTGAATACTGGCAAAATTAAAGGATAAGTTCACCTTTTTAACAAAAATAAAAATTGCACATTTGTTTTGCAGGTAAAAAAATGTGCATTTATTGTTTTTGTCTGCGGGAGCCTGGAAAGCATTGCACCAGCGATCAGTAGTTCGCTGGTGCCATGCAAGTCTCCTGCAGACCTGTCAGAATATCTGCCAGCCGTATGGGATGTACGAGCAAGGAGATATACTGACAGGAAACTTGAATGAACTACCACGGCGCTCCACAGCACATTGGTAGTTCATTGAAAACTACAAGCTGACAGCCACTAAGGCGGGGCCATACACTATACAATTTTCTTACAGTTTTCTGCCCAATTTCCTTTAGATTTACCTTCAGCTATGTAGTGCAAGGGCCGGCCCAATTGGATACAATTGAAAGTGTTGTTTAGGTTTGACCTCCTATTATATGGTTTTTGGTAAATTTAAAGCAAGAATATCAAGAAAATTGTATAGGCTGGCCATACATTATACAATTTTCTTGAGAATTTTGCTTTAAATTTACCAAAAACCATATAATAGGAGGTCAAACCTAAACAACATTTTCAATTGTATCCAATTGGGCCGGCCCTTGCACTACATAGCTGAAGGTAAATCTAAAGGAAATTGGGCAGCAATTTGTAAGAAAATTGTATAGTGTATGGCCAGTCTAAGGCTTTCAGGCACTCATTCACAGAGTTCTGTGAATGAGTGACGTGGCCGTGTGGGCAGAGCCCCGCGCGGTTGCACTGTTTTCTATTCTGACAGATAGTACGGGGAGAAGTGTCCCCATACTATATCTGTCAGAGGGCGCGGCTGCAGCTATGGGAACATATTACATGCTCCACCCTAAAAATGGGTTGAACATGTAAAATGTTCCCAAAGGTGAACTTATTTAAATGTTACTGGGTTATTTTTTCTCCAGGTTGGATGCTTATCATAAGAATTATGTTAATCGGGAAAATACCACATACTGGCCCCTAGATGGGGCTGATGATCATAGGAAGCTATCAGCTCCATCTAGTGGCCATAATGCAATATATTCCCATGCCATCCTTTTCTTATGAGTGAACAACATTCAACCTGGAAAGAAGAAGGATTAGTAACATTCCATTTTGTCATCATTCACACAGAATAAATGTGCTCACAGTTTCCAGAACAAATAGCGATGTTATTTTTTAAAAAATGTTTTATAAATACACCCTTGAGTTTATTGATTTGCTTTAGTCATTACACATATTGACATGATTTAAATTTGCTGTAGTGGGCAGCAAAGTGGCTAAATGGTTAGCACTTCCGCCTGGCAGTACTAGGGTCGTTGGTTTGAATCCCAACCATGGCACCACCTGCCTGGAGTTTGCATGTTCTCCCTGTACCTGCGTGGGTTTCCTCTGGGTTCTCCGGTTTCCTCCGAGTTCTCCGGTTTCCTCCCACACTCCAAAGACATGCTGGTAGGTTAATTGGATCCTGTCTAAGTTGTCCCTAGTATGTGTATGTATGAATATTCGTTAGGGACCTTAGAATGTGCACCCCTTGAGGGTTAGGGACTGATGTGAATGTACAATATCTATGTAAAGTGCTGCGTAAATTGACAGCGCTATGTAAGTACCTGAAATAAATAAATAAAATAAATAATAGTTAGAAATATATATACTGTATAGAATGTCAGCATTTCAGGGGTCACATTATGCTGGCAATTAGCTGGCAACAGCTGAACTAGAGGCAACATTAAGCAAATATGTCACAGCTGTTGTAATGCCTGTAGGATAGATGTCCTTGCTTAGCAAGCATAATCCAAGACCATACTGGGCAAAGTGTATCCCTGGATTCACAGCGGTCAATGTGCGCTGCATTGTGCATGGGGAGAAACTTGCTTAGGGGAGTGGGCCCATGTCGTTTTCCTTGACCTTTCACATTAAAGTATGAAGCATTGATGTGGACCAACCATAATGCGTTTTCAACTTCTTGAAGCAAAATGCATGAGTATTATTGCACGAAAAGTGTTAATTGACGTAAAGGAAAAAATGTGGTAATATTTTTTTATGTTAGGAGCCCCTACACCAGTGGTTCTCAACCTTCCTAATGCCGTGACCCTTTAACCTTTACAGTTCCTTATGTTGTGGTGACCCCCAACCATAAAATTATTTACCCAGTAATTATAATTCATGAGTGTCGTTTTACCTCCAATACTGCTGCTTTCAACGCAGTAGCTGCTTTTAACAGAGTAGCTGCTTTCAACACAGCAGCTGCTTTCTACACAGTAGTTGCTCTTTACACATCGGAAATATGTGTTTTCTGATGGTCTTAGGGAACCACTGTGAAAGGGTTCGTTCGACCCCCAGGTTGAGAACCACTGCCCTACACCCTTTTTAGGTCCACCTGGATGCCTTTCCATATGAACATGTGTGATGTTTCATGTTAATGGTTGTTGGGTTAAGGCAGCTCATTCATTTTGAATTGGTTGCCAGTGTAGCACAATGGAATAAAATCTTCCCTTACATTCAGTTTTGCTCATCTGGATTTGATTTTGAACATATTTGTCAGCAACTTAGAGACCCTTTCACCAGTGTAAAAATTGTCAGGTAAATGTACAGAAAATTAAAAATCTGAAATACTTATTTGCAGAATTTTTCCTTTTCATAAACCATTTTTTCTATTCACTTAAAAAGCCTTTGAACTTGCTAGGGAATTCAGCTTCTCTAGAAAGAGTTTATTCATGAGCACAGCCACAGTCTCCTCTTCCTTTTTGCCACGTCATGGCCCTCTTTTCTTCTGGGAGTGTCTAATTTCTTTTCAGTGCTGGCCTAGCTCCTCCATCCTTTTTTTTTTTTTATCACCCTACATACATTTTTTTGAAGTTACCAGGGTAGGAGAGAAGGGAAACGCAATAGGTCACTTGAGAGATAGGTGTGTTTTCTGGGGCTGTTGACATTACATTTAAGATGGTGGCCCCCAGAAGCAGTCTCAGGCCTTTTTGGATATCTACTCAAGGGAGGCCCTTTTAGGTGAATAAAATACATAAAAGAACATATAATCATATAAGAAGATTGTTGTTGAAATTAATGGTATTGTGACAGGGTCTCTTTAAAGTAAAAGTTAACAGTCACCAATAAATTTATTTTATTTATTATTTATTTCAGGTACTTATATAGTGCTGTCAATTTACGCAGTGCTTTACACATAAATATATTGAACATTCACATCAGTCCCTAACCCTCAAGTTGTGTACAATCTAAGGTCCCTAACTCACATTCATACATACACATGTTAGGGCCAATTTAGACAGGATCCAATTAACCTACAAGCACGTCTTTGGAGTGTGGGAGGAAACCGGAGCCCCCGGAGGAAACCCATGCAAGCTCAGGGAGAACATGCAAAGTCCATGCAGGAGGCGTCATGGTCGGGAATCGAACCCATGACCCATTTACTGCAAGGCAGACGTGCTAACCACTAAGCCATTGTGTCAATTGGATCATAAAATCTTTGACTTTCTATTCTCCTTTCAGTATGTAATGTTAGTATTTTAACCTGCAGCGCCTAATAATACCTGGAGAACCCATCATGACATTTTTTTGAGGAACTTCCTGGTTTAGGGTGCCGATGCTTTTGCCATGTCCTCGTTGTCACCTTTTCACAAGGGTCTCTGATGGAGACTTCAAGTGACTGTTTCAACACACAATATGCCCAGGTGAAAGCGTTCCTAAGACTCTTTCCAAAGGTGACCGGGAAGGGGGGGGGGGGGGGGGGGGGGGGGGGGGGGGGGGGTGGGGGGGGGGGGGGGGGGCGGTAAAAACTAGTGGCTGAGCCTTGGTTTCACCTGCTCCCCACCGCCCACCCAAATTCTAACATTACAGCATTATAGGGCTGTATACATGCCATGGCCATGAAGCTGCGCCTTGCAGCCATGGCATTTTTAACTTGGGCTGCAGAGTTTGTCAGGCCGTACTCGCCTTTGAGATCATAGGGACTGTACTGCAGCTGCAATCTAAACCCCTGGCTTACAGTTGTGGCATGTTCCCGCAATGTAAAATTACTTTTCAGCAATTAGTGCTTCCTTTCCTGAACACCTGACAGCCACTTCTATACTGCTCTTTAAAAAAAAATTCAGTCTACCACGGACCACCTTGTGATTCCGGTAAGCTTGCTGCTTGTCTGAAAGAACCCATACAGGGTCTTTATAAATTGGCTACAGTCACAATAGAAAAGCCTGTCCCCTGCCAGCATGCTGTAGTGAGGTACTCTCTGTGTGGAAGCAGTGATCTCTCTGCAGAGAGGTCCAACACACCCTCTTGATCCCTGCTGCTTGAACTGTTCTAGCTTTGACTCGGGGTGGGGGTGTACTGAATATCGCCATTTTGATGCACTTCGAATGCATTTAGCCACTTTAATGTGAAAAACTAAAAATTCTTTTTAGTAAAACCTGCGCCTAGTAAAACACTCTAATACAGGTTCTATCCTGCTGCTGTGCACTGTGAT